TGAGAAATGGGAAAAATGGGAGGCTTAGCTGGGGGACGCGGAGAATGTCGTGCGTGGGACTAATATAAATATATATATATATATATATATATATATATATTGCAAGTGGGACACCCAGCTGTGAGTCCAAGACTAAAAAAAATGACTTCCCTTTGTCTTACCAATGAACATAATAAATCTGAGACTTTATTGTCTTTTTAGCTTAGTTTCACTGATAGTCCCTCAAGAATAAAATCAGTCTGGATTTGACCCCATCTTTTCAATTTATTATAAGTAACGTTATCTGGAATTCTGGATGTGTTTTGGATGTAACGGTCATTTCGTCAGTTAGCTTTTAAAAATGGGATTCTCTTTGGTTTCGACCCATTCCAAGAGGTATGTCCCATGACATAAATATTACATGAAATATTTTGTCTCATTTTTTATGCTCACAAACGCCGGGGTAGCATAAGTCAAAAAGTCAGAAACTAAATTGAAACTGATTATATTCGGGTGATCTTGATAAATATTCATTAAAAATGTATAAGTTAAAATTTTTACTATTTATTCTTAATTCATAATATTTTTAGTCAATAATTACACTAATAAAAGAATATTTATCAAGAGTAAAGAGTAAAAGTCTATACTCATGCACTTTTAAAGGTAAATTCTCTATTTTTCCATTATATTCTTTATGGCAATAGTGAAATTATCCGTGTTTCTTGGTCCAATTACATCAAGTATCACCATGTGAGAAGTAAAATGTAAAACCAAATTAGTCCTATGGTAATGTTTTGCACATCGTCAGGCGCAAGGTGTTGGTAATGGTACTGGAAAGCATTATTCTTCGTTGTTTCTTGATAAATGAGAGCATCCAACTTGGTACTACAAAATAGAAAAAATTGTTGAACTTACGGATTCATGATTATGAATTTTAATCTTTTATTTTTGATTAATATCTTTTTAACAAATTATTTAACTAAAAAATATATTAATCAAGAGTAAGAAGTTAAAATCTAAGCACATACACTTTTAAAGAGTATTTATCTCTTTTTTTCTAAAAAATATTATTATTCATTGCATATCCGAGTTTAATTCAAAGGTATGGCTATGCCTTTGACTAAGAGTAGCATTATATATATATAAACTTCACTATCAAATTGATATATAGAGCTCTCTTTCAAACAATTTCATATGTATTTGGTTTTATCTTCTCTCTCTCTCTCTTCTTTTTTTTTTTTTTTTTTTTTTTTTTTTTTTGCATACAGTTAACAAAATGTAACAAGTAAATAATACCTCTATGATAATTGCTAGAGTTTTGTATTTCCATTTTCTTTTAAGGCCATTTGTTAGACTCATGTATTATAAACCAGTGAGAAATTGTATGTACTTATTAGGAGCTTTATATCTTGCTAAAAAACTCAGGACAGTTACGCTAGTTATGACAATGGAGTTTGCTATCAACAAATGGGTTTGTCTTGTCTTTACTTCTGTCCCATAAGCCTCAGATATCAAATGAATCAGGACCAAAATCTTTAGTTACTGCAAAATCATATACAACGAATAAGCAAAATCCAACTCTCCTAAGCAAGGTATAGACAATAAGTAGCCTAAAATGTATATGCATGAATAGGGAGGAATAGATTCACACAATTAATTAATACATACCGAGTTTGACACAAGGAGGCACCAGAACAAAGTATACTTGTATTGAAATCTACGCTCATCTTTAGCCAAAAATGCAAACTGGGGATATACTGTCTCGGTTAAGCACAGAAGCAAATCATCATCCAAAATTTTCTGTACTTAACAGTATCTTTGTAAGGTGTAGTAGTCAAATTACGCGATGCTGGTTAGGCTGCAACATCAGATAAACAAGCAGTTCAGCTCGCGGAATTTCACGACATATGCTATCTTGTTGAGGAAACAATATGGTCGGAACGAGATGCTTGAGAAGATGCATAACTAGGTCAGTCATTTGCGGAAAACCAGAATTGGTCTGTTGAATCCAGATTTGGTGCCTGACAAGCTAGAAGTCACGTCCTCCACTGTTCTAAATCCAATCTGCAATTCATTTTAATGTCAGATTTCTCAAATATCTCACCATAGCTAATCAAAGAAGCATTTTATGAAAACATGTTTTGTGGACCGATTCAGCTGTAACTTTAACTTCAAGGCTAGTTACAGCACAATCGTGGCATACCTTATCGAGAAGTATCTCCTGAAACCATGCTGGACGGAAACTAATCTTTTTATAATTTTCAGTAGTTGTCTGTAAAAAAGTGTGAACGTGTGTTAGGCCACAAGTGAATCTACTTAAAGAATAGCCTCTTCCATACTGAAAAAGAATACATACACATATTTAGAATTCAGAAACATTAAAGAGTTCTGAATTTCAGAAAAAAGTAGATTGTAGACTTGGGCTGAATTTCAGAAGAACAGCCTCTTCTGTAATAAAAGCTTTTGTTGAAGATTTTCAGAATGATATTTTGAACGAGCAACATAGAGAGACCTAGCACATAAAAGCGTACTAGGAAGCAAATTATTGAAAGATCCAGAGATCATACAACACATAAATCGGATACTAGCTTTATAGATCGGCCATATGCAACATAAGGTTTTCATCTCTGTTTCTGATTGAACTTCACGGTAATTAATGGTCAAAAACAATCTATTCATAAATTCGACATGATCTAAGAAGTGAAGAATTGTTATCACCTCAGATATCCGGTAATTATTTTGATATGACTTCCAAGGTTGTGGTTCCAGCACAAGAATTCCGCCCTGCTTAGGAAAATAAAACTCTTATTACAAGGGAACTACTATTCCCTAATGCTATCCATGAGTGAAAAACCGTCATTAGTCGATTGCAACAGAACAATTGCAACAAAGAGAAGAAGAAAGAAAGAGAGCGTGGTAAGGCAAAGGGTACCGGATTAAGAAGTCTCCAAATCTTTGTAAATAATGTAATTAGTCCATCGTCACCCCAGTTCAGATGAATCCACTTTGATACACTCAAACTGCATTTCAGAGAGACAAATAGGCACATCACAACAAGGTTAACAACAACAAAAGACTTTCTCTCACCTAAGCTTCATTGCTATATTATGTAATGGTTTTTCGACATTCTCACTGAAGTAATAAGTCAAAAGCTAACACAAAAGTTTTGCCAGAGTTTGAAACTTCCACTCGTCTTCACTTAAAATAAACAGTTTTATTGATATGCACTATAAAATGAAACTTGCCAAAGAATTGTATCATAGTGCTTCTCCTGTGGATGCCGACTCTGAACAAAATTTTCTTGCTGGAAAGATACTATGTCAGACAGATCTCTTTCCTCAGAAGAACAACTCCTCAAAGACTGTTTTGTCTCGTCATCGGATGACGCTGCAGCATTGTTCCCTAGACCATTTGCATCTTCAGAAACCTTTGATCTGGAAGTCCTTCCCTGCTTCTTCTCAAACTCGTCCATTTTCGCAAATTTTCTCAGGTGCCAGTATGCATCTTCAATTCGATCTGGCAGATAAAGAGTCCCAGTTAGTGATTACACAAGCGTAACAAATGACAAGAAGCTGATTATATTACAGTTTTACACCGAGAGAGAGAGAGAGAGAATGCAATGCCCCAAGTCTAATTCAAACTGTTCCTAACAAGTATTAGAGTCGTAATAAGATTCTTACTAGAATCAATGTCTACTCCGAGAATGCTCTTGCAATGGAACTTTCTGGCTGTAGATAAACACATATAACAAAATGAGTGTGAGAAATACTAACTTTCAAATCCATATATTTCATTAAAAGTAAAAAATAAAAAATAAAAAAACTTAAGTATCAGGGAAAACAAGTGACATCTTAGATATAAAAATTCAAAATATAAAATACCAACTTCCCAGATTGGTGATCCTTTTGTTTTTCAGCTTTGCACGAAAATGAAATTAGTATTAAAATTACACATCCACAAGGAGACACATTAATCTCCACGTGAAACCCTCATTTCTGTTCTGAAAATCGCCTATAGCCCGCTAAAAGGTTTCGGCAAGTAGATCTCAATAGAACTATAACTATCAGAAAATTTAAGGATTCACTAAAGCCTCAATGACTAAGATCATAAATCATAATACAAGACTAAAGGATTATTTTCAGCTCAAGAGATAAGTACCAATCTGGATTGTTATGCTCCCATTGTTGCAGCCGATGTCAAGACAATCCTTGCCTTCAAGCCATTCCTTCTTCATCACCTTTAGTCTAGGATCTTCCTCCATGTCCTGACCAATCTGGAACATTATATAAAAGAGTAAATTTTTACACTTTTTGCATATGACACTAATGCCCTGTTTGTTTCGACAACTCAAACTGTTGGTTAGGATTTAAACCTTCATTCAGGATTCAAATTAGTGTTTGGGAGAGAAAAATTGAAGGACAATTCAAACCATTAACAATGGTTCAAACCCTTGATTTTTAGAATTCACCGCCCCCTAAATTCTAACAATCTGAATTGTTGTCAACAATTCAACAGTTCCAGATGCTACTTTTTCTCTCTTCAATTTTAATCTTAAAAATGTTATAACTTCTTCATTTTAATTCTGATTGAGATGAATTTTTTTAATGTGTTCATAATGAAAAGAAGAACAAATCCCCACCCATATTACATATTTTTTAATGTCATTTACAATGAAGTTTTATAAGATTTGTTACAAAACTCTAATGACAGTTTTCAACACTTTATCCAAACACAGTTCGGATTTTATTTTCAATTCAAATTATAATTTATTTACATATCCAAACACCGGTTCGAATCACAATTAAAATCACCACAATACAATTCACACAATACAATTCAGATTCTATAGTTCTAACCAAAAAGGTTCAAATCTTCACCGTTTGAGTCGCTGAACCTAAGTAATCTTCTCAAATATTTTCTCTCGTTTTCTTTTACATTCGTCTCAATCCATTATCCGAAACTGCACTCATGAAAGTTGGTACCCAAAAACTCAATCCAACCATTCTACTAAAAGCTTCCAAAATCAAACTAAATGCAAAGCCAAAAAACAAAAAACAAACAAAAAAAAAAGCCCAAAAAAAACCAATGAATGAACAGCATTACCCAGTTAACCAATAGGTAAGATCAATTGGGTCACCAATATTGTCCAAGTTAAACCCCTCAATAACCCCAAAAACTACAATACATACATACATACATATATATATATATACACACACACACACACACACACACACACATGTTGAAAAGACTGGAAAAGAACTAAGACGCCTAACAGCAACAATATGTACGGCAGAAAGATAAAAATATTTAAAACTTTAAACTTTGTTTTGAGGTTTCTCAAGCTTTCTGAGGAATTTAAACAGAGGAATTGGGATAGAAAAAATAATTAATTGACATACACGATAGCCATAGTAGTTCCTGTAATTGCCGAAAGGGAAAATCTCTTTGCGTTTTCTCTTCTGCTTCTGAACTCCTTCTGCACATCTCCTCTCTTCGTCCTTACTCTTCTTCTCTTCTTCCATTTTTCTTTTCTTTTCTTTTCTTGGGTTTTATTCGCTGTTTTTGAGACCGAGCTGAGTAGCAAGTGAATGTATCGTATCAGGGTCCGGGCTCTGTTCGTTTGAGAGAGAAAGAGAGAGACTGACGGAGGAGGGAGAGGGAACGAACGGTCTATTGCAATTTCATGTTCTCATTGCGACTTATTAGGGTTCTTTTTCTTTTTTCTTCATTCTTTTTTTCATCCCATTTTTCTTAAAAAAAAAACTAAATCAAACAAATAAATAAGATCTATTGGCCTATTAGTGGATTATTTTTAAATTTAATTAAAATCATATTAAATTAAAAAATATGTAAAATAAATAATTTTTGACATAAATTTAACGGTTGAAAATTTAAAAAATCCGTTAAATTTGATTAAAATATATTAAATTAAAAAATATACAGTATAGACTGTTTTTTATATAGATTTGACGATTAAAAAAGAAAAAACTACTGATAGTTTAATATTTTCAGTCCTACCAAAAAAATTCTCTAAGAAAATAAATAGGAAACACTCTTGTTGAGTTTTTTCTCACTCAAAAAAAGGAAAAAGAGCATACACTCTTTAAAATATATGGGTATTAGATTTTTACATTTTACACTTGATTAATACTCTTTAATCAAATAGCCATATTTTTTTAAAGGAAAATTGTATTTCATTAAAATACTGATAAAAAGTCGTCTTAGTACAATACTAACCCATCAGAGGGACAGACGCACACTTGAGGCCCGAAACCGGAAAAGCACATTGGCACGCTAACAACAAACAAACTGAAAGCTCAACTGGAGAAAACTTCTCTTTTTAACATAAGCTATCAAGCGCTGGAGAGGCAGATCGTCAAAACCCACAGAAGGGAGACATCTACGTGGCATAGAAAAAATTCTAACTAGACCGAGACCACCCTATCGACATTAAACCGAATACTTAAATCTAACAAAAAATAACAAACTGGACGAGAGTCATGTGGGGTAACCACCAACCTTATTACAAATACAAAAGTTATAAAAGAAAAAAATCTCCAATCACCACCAGTATAAACCTCTGGTGAAGGGTGTTCGACCAAAAGACCATTGAGGAAGATAGCCAGCGAAAAGATCTCAGCTACCACGCGAGAAACTCTCCTGAGAAATGAGACTGTCCAATCAGTTTCTAAACTTCTAACCGGTTCAGATATGTCTAAATGGAGCTACCACCGTACACCACCACTACTAATAAGAAGCCCACGATAAGACTAGCCGGAGGACCAAATTTCATGGTCGGGAGCTCAAAAATGCGCCCAGAGGAGATGTTAATGCTCCAGTCAGTCTCTACTCACCAAGGACCTTCTCACTCTCGTTCTAAAAAACAAGATAAACGTAGTTTAAGACCATCTCAATTAAAGAATAATATAAGTCAAAAAGGTTATTGATAGATAAAAATCTTAAAACAATGTATTTTGAGGGTGAGTTTACTAATTTTTTAAAATAATAAAAAAGAAATGAAAAGAAAAGAAAAGAGGAAGTGAATGGCATATTCACTTCTAGAAATACTAGCTGTCGTCTATAATGTAAGGGAAAGCTTGTCATTATCGACATTTCGCTTGTCGTTTGATAACGATGGGCCATGTCGTTGATTGAAAGTTTTTTTTATTATTATTGTTATTATTATAAATAGTCGTCTATTGAAAGTTGCTTACATTTAGACTTCTTTCACTTTGCAGATTCAAATTTTTAATTCGAATTGAAATGTTATATTTTATGAGAACTTTTCACTGTAGTAAAAAAAGTTAAATGTGATATTTTTTAAGAATTTTTTATTATAAAAACTTAAAATTAAAAACTCAAATCGGTAAAATAAAGGAGGCTTTAGTTTGAAAATGACGACCATTTATTGAAAAAAAATCAAGAAATTGATGCCCATTGCCTGATGGAGCGACATTTCGTTTTCAATTGAATAAGTTCACACCACGTTGCAAAATTGTTGTTTTGTGTTAAAACGACACGTAGGCCGTCGTTTACTTCAGACAACGACATCCTTTTTACTTTAAAGATTAAAGGCTTCAAAAAAAAAGAGATATTCTCTATAACTGACTTACCGGTAAATTCATTTTTTTTAACCGTTAAATTTACGTAATTTTTTAGCTTTTACGTAATTTTGTATAAATTTAACGGATAAAAAATTAACATATCGGTAAGCCGGGTAAGCCGACGTACCGGAGAAGAACCAAAAAAAAAAAAAGCAAAAGTAAAAAATATTACGGCCTTTCATTAAAAACGACATACCATTTTTGTTTAATTCTGTATTTTTACCAATCAGTATAACAATTATTTGAAAATGATATTTTATTTCCCTAACAAGAACCAACAAGTGACTTAACACCCAATCTTCCCAGACGCCAAACAAAGGGTTACAACTTACAACATATTTATGAGGCTATCTTTTCATGAAAACAAATGGGAAAATTTGATCAAACAGATTTATTCTTTTAAAAACAATACAATCTAGACAGATAATTTGTCACAAACTACATAAAACGACAACTGAAGAGCTAATGACGAGATTTTTGTTACAATGCATGTTGTGATAAGTCATTACTGTAATATTATCTACAAAAAGGTCGCAACTCCTTAATGGCGAAGCCCTTCAAAAGAGATTTACTTTGATCCAAGTCTTCCATTTCAGTTCCAAGCCTGCTGTGCTCAAGGGAGCTAATATCTCACTCCAACTCCTTGAGGAAATCAACATTATCTACAAAAACCTGAAAAATCAAGGGAAAATAAGACATAAGATTACAAAGAAAAGAAATTATATATACCTCTATCTTATAGCTGACCACTAAGAATCAATTGAGTATTCAATGCAAATGCATCAATCATCTTGCATAAAAAAGTGAAGAGTTTCTTAAAAATGAACCATACCGTCTTCCAACCATCAGGATCTAAGCAAGCAGTAATTTTGGTGTTGATGCCAGGTAACGGTCCAGGTTCCCGGGTAACCTTTCCGTCAACAAGTTTAACAGCTTCTGCAGTTTTATAGACATCGTCCGTGCCTATCGCTATCTGCCAAGATTTGAACGTGTTATACTTAATAAAAGGTCAAATTTCAAAACTGGCGAGTGAGAGAGTGGGGTATGAGACCCAACAAAATTGTTTAAAAAGCATAGTGAAAATAGACTAAGAAACATAGGAAACAGAACACACAATAGTATTATAACAGAAGCAAGCATCGCAATATTAGAATAATGTATGCAAATAGAGCAGAATTTATGTTAAACATATTTGAGAGGAAGTCTTCAGAAGTAAGGGGTGAAATGAGGTTCAAGTTTTCTACCTGAGCATATGCATTTCCTTTTTCATATTCAGTGACACCATAGTTATAGGTCAGCTCCAGAACAGCATTTTTGTCTTCAGGGCCGTAGCCTAGCATCGCTACTGTATACTAGAAAGAATCAACAAAAAAACATGTCACCAAGAGAAATAAAACATAAGAATATATCTTGTTAGAGTTGTAAGGCATGGTCGTTTCCCTCTCATCGCATTTTGACCCATCACCAAAATTCAGATGGAGAAAGCACCAAAATGGTCGCCTGGCCCATTCTATCTACATATCTCTTCCAACAAGTATTTCGAGCATTCATACATGAACAAAAACTAATAATAATAATAATTTATTTTGCTAATTAATCAAAAAAAGAATAAAGAGTTACCTTGTAGTCAGGATTATCCCGGGTCCTCAGAAGCTCCATTCCAAAAGCCTAAATAAAGGAGAAAAGGACTAAGAACGAAGCACATGGCTCATGAAGTCAGTTATGCCTTTATTTTTCTTCAGAAGTCTCACCTTCTCATAGAAGTTTATGGAACGTTCAAGATCACCAACGCGAAACATTACTTGACACAAGGGCTCAGGTGTGGGCCCTCTTTCCAAAAGTTCGAACTTATAACCATCAGGATCTTCAATAAATGCGATAACTGTGCTGCCCCCTTTTACAGGACCAGGTTCTCTCGTTACTTTTCCACCCTTAGCTTTTATGAGTTCAACAGTCTTAGCAACCTAGCCAAAGGAACCCATAAATGAATATGAAATCTGGGTGCGTCAACAAGAACCAACAATCCAAAAGACAATCCAGGAATAAGATGTTTATAAACTATAGGGTCCAAAAACTACAATAAAAGGCTAACTGCATGCTTAAAGAATGGAAGAGTGAATAACATAACAACTTAGCGAAAGATGCCACAAATCAAAACTTACATCCTCAACTGCCACACCAAAATGACCAAATCCAGTTCCAATATCATACTTGTCAACACCATAATCTGGCAACATCAATGTATCAGCCCAAATATAAATACTTACGCAACAAAAGATCAGAGAAATGACTATTAACTCATTGAGATGACATTATAAATTAAATTACTTATGCTAGTGAGATGCTGCTTCAAGAAAGATGCAAACAGAAGTTCCAATTGCTTCAGATTCTAGGAAAGATTTGCTAAGCTAGAATCCTTAAATAGCTTACTGTAGGTGAGTTCAATGACAAAGTGCGAATCCTCCGGCCCATATCCAAGAAACGCATTTGTGTATCTTTCCTCCGGTATGTCACGTTTCCTCAGCAACTTCATCCCCAGGCACTCAGTGTAGAATCTGCAGCCACCACACGCATTTGTATTAGATTCATTAAGTAGGCTGAACTTCCTAATTATCCAATACATGAAAATACATTACACAAGTAGAACATTTCATATTGTACTAAACAAACATACTTTATGGTCCTGTCCAAATCCCCAACACGGTAAACAACGTGAAGCAGCCGCCTTTTATCCTTTTTGACCCACTCAAGGACATTCTCCGGGGCAGCAGCCGTGCTTGCCTGTACCACATTGCCAGCAGCAGCCGGGGACCTGCTCTTTTCCTCTCCTCTCAGCATAAGCTTTCAGGCCAAACAACTGTGATTGCGGAACAGCTGAATTTCGCCAAATGACAACGATTAAGCCCCAATTCACGATGCTATTAATCATAAATTGCTGATTTTGAGCTAAGCATTGTTTTGAAATATAGAAACCTTAATTCCAGTCGATCAACACACATCAAAAAGCTGCTCTAAAGTAACAAATGCAGAACAGAAAACAAAATACCAAAGAAAGACCATTAAATTCTACAATATACATAC